GGAAACTGCAGCATTCTCAGGAGTCTCCTCTTAAAGGGCCTGTGAGAAGACTCACTTAACGCAGACTTACTCCCTCTGGGATCCAGCACCAGGGCAACAGCAGGAAGGGCACCAGTGGCATACGGAGAGGAAGTGTAGTGTCTGGCATCAGGGCGAGTGCCAGGAGACAGCTTCTTCCTGGACCAAACTCCAGAGGCCAGGCAGCAGCACTGTCCCCTCTCTGAGCCAAACTTAGGAAGGACAATTTGACAATCTGCCAAGGCACAGGAAAGATGCTCACTCTGTATGGTAAGTTATATAAGAAGGTAGTCTTGAAAAGTATTATACGAAAACTAAAAAATTTAATTCTTGATGTTGCTAATGTATTAAATTACAGTGTAACAGATAAATATTAGGTCTACTAATTTCTTAAAGTCACAAAGCTGGGCGATACAGGTTGCCCTGCCCTGGAGATTACCTAAGATTCCACCCCATCCAACTTACTGATGCATTTGTCTACAATAGGACACTACTAAGAGCAGGGAGTCAAAGCAGCTCTACTTAATGCACAGAAACAAACACAGGAAGGCTGCCAAAATGAGGAGACAGAGAAATATGGCCCAAATGAAAGAACAGAACAAAACTCCAGAAAAAGAACTAAACAAAATGGAGATAAGAAATCTATCAGCTGCAGAGTTCAACACACTTGTTATTAGGATGCTTAAGGAACTCACTGAGTACTTTAACAGCATAAAAAAGACCCAGGCAGAAATGAAGGTTATATTAAGTGAAATAAAGAAAAATCTACAGGGAACCAACAGTGGAAGGGATGAAGCCAAGTAATCAAATCAATGATTTGGACCATAAGGAAGAAAAAGACCTTCAATCAGAACAGCAAGAAGAAGACAGAATAAAACAAACAAACAAACAAACAAACAAACAGGGATAGGCTAAGGAGCCTCTGGGAAATCTTCTAACATATCACCATTCGAATTATAGGGGTGCCAGAAGGAGAAGAGAAAAAGCAAGAAATTAAAAACTTACTTGAGAAAATAATGAAAGAAAACTTCCTTAATTTGGTGAAGGAAATAGACATACAAGTCCAGGAAGCACACAGTCCTAAACAAGATGGACCCAAAGAGGACCACACCAAGACACATCATAATTAATATGCCAAAGATTAAAGATACAGAGAGAATCTTAAAAGCAGCCAGAAAAAAAAGCAGATAGTTACCTACAAAGGAGTTCCCATAAGACTGTCAGCTGATTTCTCAAAAGAAATTTTCAGGCTAGAAGGGACTGGCAAGAAGTATTCAAAGTGATGAAAAGCAAGGATCTATAACCCAGATTATTCTATCCAGCAAAGCAGCAGTTAGAATGGAAAGGCAGAGAAAGTGTTTCCCGGACAAGGTAAAACTAAAGGAGTTCATCATCACCAAGCCATTATTATATGAAATGTTGAAGGTACTTATTTAAGAAAAAGATCAGAACTATGAACATTAAAATGGCAATAAATTCACATCTACCAACAATTCAATCTAAAAAACAAACTAAACAAACAAGAAGAACAGAAACAGAATCATAGATATGGAGATCATTTGGAGGGTTATCAGTTGGGAGGGGGAAGGGAGAGAATGAGGGAAAAGGTTCAGGGATTAAGAAGTAGAAATTGGTAGATACAAAATAGACAGGGGGATGTTAAGAACAGCATAGGAAACCAAGTAGCCAAAGAACTTACATGCATGACCCATGGATATGAAGTAAGGGGAGGAGCTGAAAGGATTGGAGGTACTGAGTGGAAGGCAGCAAAGGAGGAAAAATTGGGACAACTGTAATAACATAATCGATAAAAACACATTAAAAAAAATAGAAGACCCTAGAGACTTCCCTGGTCCCTTCCCCCATGTAAGAATACAGACAGAAGTCAGCAGTCTGCAACCTGCAAACAGGCCTTCACCAGATCCTGACCATGCTGGCACCCTGATCTTGAATTTCCAGCCTCCAAAACTGAGAAACAAATTTCTGTTATTTATGAGCCACATAGTCTATAGCACTCTGTTATAGCAGCCCAAACAGAATTAAACCCATTGATAGCTCCTTCAGTCTTTGTTTATCTACTGGATCCTTCTTTGGGGCCAGAGTCAGGTCTCATTTATGCAAAATACAGCTTTTCTTGTACCCATTTCTCCCCTCCAGCCTCTCTTCTTTCCTTTCATGGGCAAGTCTCTATAAAAAGTAGACTACACATGCTATTTGTGCTTCTTCACTTGTTTGTTCTTCGATCTTCTCTGCTTTCCCTCCTCCCACTCCACTGAGTATTTTAGGTTATGCTACTAATAGCCTCCTAATTTTCAAATCAAATAGACACCTCTTTGTCTTTTTCCTCTTTGACCTTTTTATGCCATTTGGCTTTGATAACCACTTCCGCCTCTGCAAAACCCCCTTCACCGGTGGCTTCTTTGACATCAATCAGTTCCCTTTTGACCTCTCTGGCTCTTCTCTATTTCCTTCCTGAGTGCCTCCTTCTGTGTGTACCTATTCAATGTTGGCTTCATCAGGGCACTTTTCTGCCTCACTCTTCTTTTTCCTTTCTACACTCTCAAGTGGTAACTTCCTGTAGTTTCCAAGATTTAAGGTAACTTTTTTGAGACTTGGGGACCTAGTCTAGACTCCTCTCCTAAGCAGAATTGAATTAGAGCTGCTCTGGTAAAGTATCTTTCCTGCTGGATTAAGCACTTAGTCATAGATTGAACTGTGTACCCCCAAAATATATGTTGAAGTTGTAACACCCAATACCTATTAATGTGACCCTATTTGAACATAGGTCCTTTGTAGATGTTCAAGTTAAGGTGCGGTCACTACTATGGGCCATAATCCAACAGGACCAGTGAATTTATAAGAAAATGAGACAGAGACACACAGACAATGTCCTGTGATGATGGAGGAAGAGACTGGAGTGACGCAGCCAGAAATCAAAGAATGCCTGGGACTGATGGCCACCACCAGAAGCTGGGGTCAAGGAAGCACACTCTCCTACAGGTTTCAGAGGGATCATGACCCTACTGGCCCCTTGATTTGGGATTTCTAGCTTCCTAAACTGGGAGACAGCGAATTTCTGTTGTTTTTAGCCACCTGCTTGGTGGCACTTTGTCACAGCAGTCCTAGGAAACAGGTACATATTTCCTTCATTGTCTGAAGCTCCTTATCTAACCAACCATTTATAACTTGTAATCTCTTTTAAGACTATTTTGCCTTTGTCCTTCTCCTAGTTTAGGTATTTTTGGACTTTCAAATAACATAGACCAGTTCTGTTTGTTTAACTTGAGTATCAACGTTGGGTTTGCAACTTTTAAATTCTGCCCTTAATCTTTAAAAACCTTTTTTAAATTAAAAAACATCTATTTACAGCATCATTCATAAAAGTTAGGACGTTGTAACGCTGAACTCCCAGAATAAAATAGTTCTTTAAATATTTTGTCTTATGAAAAACTCATTGCTTTATCCCAGCTTCTCCAGTTTTGTTTCAGATACATAAAAATTTTATAACAGAAACATTTAAGAGCTCATGTTAATTATGTGACAAAAATATTAATACATATCATACCTTTCTTTGTTTCCAGCCATCTTTCTCCTCCCTTCCCAAAATTTCTGTCTATATTTGAAATTGGGGTAATAGTGAGAAGAACTTGAGAAGCAGGAGCTGAAAAGAATAGTGAGATTAAAAAAATAAAAAACGCGTAGAGAATCACCCCTGAAGAGAAAGTTTAAGTGGGTGAAAAGGTGCAGAAGCATGCTTAGGTTTGAGGGAGTTGGGGAAAGGGATTGACTTAGGCATAGGAGAGAAATTGAAAATGACAGAATATGAAAAGGAATTTTAAAAACTTTGATGTTGTGTGTATTCTTCCTTTTTGAGGACGTGAGATAGAGGTTTAAATTGCTTTTATTTATTTATTTTTTTTCCCGGTTGCCTTCTATCTCTTTGAGTGTGATTCTGTGTAGGGCGAGATTACAAGGCAGCAGAGCCTTTTAAGGGTTACGTATAGTTATGATCAGAAGCGGCACTGTAGTTAAGGTTAGGGCTCTGAAATCAGAAGCCCAGTGTTTGAATCCTGCTCCCAGTCATTTTCTGCTCTGTGCCCGGCAGACAATTACTTTACTTCCCTGTGCCTCATTTCCCCATCCACGAAAAGGAGGTAACAGTAACTACTTCGCTGGATTGTTGGGAGGGTCAAATGAATTAATACAGCTAAGGTAATTAGGACAGTGCTTGGCAATGGAAGACGCTTAAGTGTTAATAAAAAGGAAATCCATACATAACCTCACCAGTTTACACAAAACAAAACAAACAAAAAATCGTTCGCGGCTCGCCGTTCCTAAATTTCTTGGCATGGCATCCTGCAAACCGGAGGGCCTGATTTGCCTTTGCAGGCTCAGCTCCGATCTTCCCTCGCGTGTTCTTAGTCACAGCCCGCGCAGCGCTCCGCGCTGCCAGATTCTGGTTCAGTCTCCCTCCCTCTCTCCCGTATTCGCGGGCATCCTCCAAGCCCTGGGGCTCACGTCACCGCCTCCGCGGAGACACACTTTCCTCTCCCTTCCCCGTTTCCCGCCACTTCGAACTTCTACGCGAGGTTTTTCTCCGGCGGTGTTAGGGGTCTGACTCTCCCGCACTTTACAGATGCTCAAAGTGGCCGTAAAGGAAAACGCTGTACCTTCTCTTGCGCTTTATAGAAAATACAAAACAGGGGGCTCTGGATGGGGAGCGGAGACTTGGTAGATGGGAAATGTGCTTTCACCCAAAAACCCGTTGCCAAGGGTACCCGGGGCAGCCACGTAGCCCAAGATTGGGGCGGGGCTCCCCTGCCAGGACCCCTCCGTTTCTCCGCTGGCCTCCAGCCCCGTCCGGAGCGACCGCGGTCACGTGACATCACCCCCCCCAACCACCCCCGCGCACAGCTGGAGGCGGGTCCCCGCCCTCCCCCGGGAGCCGAAGCGCCGGGGAGGGCGCGCTGCATTGTGGGCAGAGGGGCGGGGGTTGGGAAGATGGCGGCTCCCAGCCTCCTCAACTGGAGGCGGGTTTCTTCCTTCACGGGGCCGGTTCCCCGTGCCCGGCACGGACACCGGGCCGTGGCCATTCGGGAGCTGATGATCATCTTTGGTGGGGGCAACGAGGGCATCGCGGACGAGCTCCACGTCTACAACACGGGTAGGCGCGGCGACGGCTCTTCGGCCCCGCCTGTGGGAGCTGCGGCGGGGGGAGGGGAGACGAGGCAGCGGCCCCGGCCCTGACAGCTGTCACCGCCGGGTCAGTGCCTCCTCCCGCGGGCGGCGAGGGGTGCGGCTCGGCTAGACGGCTCTGGTCCCGCAGTGTCCGGGGTGGTAGCTCCGTTTTCCCGGTGCCCGCGGGGCGGAACCGGACCCCGAGCGGGGCGCGCCGGCCCTCTAGCGAGCGGTCCCGAACCAACCTTCCCTCCACCACCCCCACCTCCCGCCCCAGCGGTGGCGGACGTCGGCGCGCGAGAGAGACTGTTTCCAACCGCCTGGGCCTCTTCCCAGTGTCTCGACCACCCCGGGGCTCCGAGATTACTCCCCTGTCAAAAATCCAAACCAACTCCAAACCAGAGCTTCCCCGGACTTTCCCGTCTTTGCCTTCTTTCCTTCCTTAGGAGGAAAAGAATCTAAGGGCAGGGGTACCGAGGAAATAGGAGAGGCCTTTGGTACTTTCACCCCAAATAAAGCCCAGTCTCTGGCAGGTGGCAGTTTAGATTTTTTTTTTTCCTCCTTGGTACTCCTCTTAGCTGTCGGGGAAGTGGTTGGAGGGTGAGACCAGCGCCTCTCTTTGCACCGTTGGGTGTGTGTTCCGCAGCCCCGCCGTTTGCCGCTTCGAAAGCGGACTGTCAGCTTGAGCACCTCTGCACATCCCAAGTGCCCCTGGCCGCCGAGCCCGCCTTTGAGTACCTCCGTGGATTAGAAAGGAGGTTGGAATTTCATTTTTCCCGCTTGTAAATAAATGCGCCAGCTATCACGATAAAGTTGTTTCCGTGGTGTAAGGCTAATTACTGAATTTTGGGTCTGTACCGTAGTAAGTTTTCTTTGACCCAACGACTTAATCATAGTGGTCATTTAAAGGTTAATAAAATAGTGGAGTAGGGGAAATTTTATTTTTTCACCCTCTACTCCTCCTGGCACCCACCATATAAAGTTTAAAAGTTATTTGGCAGTTTAGTGTAAAACCGTAGTTTTGGAATAAGTTAGACCTGGCTCTGCCAGTTGCTCAGGATCAGTGCGAAGTGTCAGATTTTTCACTCGTAAAATGGAGATGACATCAAGCAGAGTTTTTGTAAGCACTAAACGATATAGATCAGGGTTTTCAACAGCAGCACTATTGACATTTGAACCAGAGAATTCTTTGTTGAAGGGGGCTGCACCATACTTAATTGTAAGTTTCACAGGATCTCTAGCCTCTACCCGCTAGTAGCCAGTAGCCCTATCTCCCTTCCTCCAATTATAACTAAAAAGTTTTAGTTAGCCCCTGGAGGGCAAAATCATCCCCAGTTAAGAACCACTGATATAAATGATACATATAAAATACATACTCATAGTTTGTGATAACTGTTTATTATAATTGCTTTTAATTTTATTTTGGCAACTAGTTACAAATCAGTGGTTCCTACCAGCTGTTAGAGGAGACATCCCTCCAGGCTGTGCTGCCCATGGATTTGTCTGTGATGGTACCAGAATATTAGTATTTGGGGGAATGGTTGAATATGGAAGATACAGCAATGAGTTATATGAGTTACAAGTAAGTGTATTTCAGATTTATTATTTCAGTATGAAGCTTTAATAATGATATTGCTCATAATTCTTCAAAAGATTACAAAATATTTCATTAACATATTGAAACTAGTGTGAGCTTTTCTTTTTATAGTTTAGAAGAAATGGTTTCTACTTCACTAAAAAGCTAGTTCCTAATGTAAGTCTTTTTCTAATACCCAGTGAAACATTTGTAACATTAAGATATCTGTTACTTAGCATCATTGTACCTGTTACATGTTTAGGCTTTTGTATTTTAGTGCAGTTCCTCAACTTCGGTCTGCGGCAGAAGCACCTGGAGGACTGGTGAAAAGAGAGAGCTTGGCCCAGCCTCCAGTTTCTAAATCAGTATTTTCTGTAGTGGGGCCTCACCATTTGCATTCCTAAGAAGTTCCGACCTGCTGCTGGTCCCCAGACAATAATTTGAAAACCTCTGCCTTAGTTATAGAAATTGTTACCTTAACAGTAATAATCTTTTTTTTTTTCTGGCAATACATGCAAAAGAGGACTAGCAGTTTTACATATCCTTTCTAAATTTGACTCTGTGAAATCAGACTCAGCCCTCTGTGACAGCCCTAATTGACCTGTGCATGTTCTCAGGGCCAGATCATGAGGGCATCTGGTGATTCGCAGGTGTAGGTGAATTATACCTATTATAAGCAACTCATTTTAAAAATGGTCTTAGATAAAGGAAGCAGTATGGCCAGAGAATAAGTTTCGAAGTTTGGTTCGTTAAATGATTTTTATTTATTTATTAAATGTTTATTTAAAGGTTAAAACATATACCATTAATGGATTACCTAATTTCAGAAAGTAAGGCTACATAAGTTACATTTAATCTTAAAGCTCTATATAATTAATTTTTCATTTGAAAAATATTTTAGAACTGTTAGTATTTATTATTATAAGCTTAATTTACCATTGTGGAAAGCTGTGAATATGGGAGACTAGACTGCATTTCTTTTGGAACGTTTATTTTAATTCCAGAAGTTATCTGCTTAATTGTCATTTGTCCCAAAAGTGCCTTTTTGGAGCCTTCTGGTTAGATTCAGATTTCAATATATCAGTGTGATGTTACACTAGTAGCAATGTAGGAATGCTTTCCTGATTTTGTCTGAGTGTATTTATGCTCTTTTTTAGGCAAGTCGTTGGTTATGGAAAAAAGTGAAGCCCCATCCCCCTTCTTCTGGTTCACCGCCTTGTCCTCGGCTTGGACATAGCTTTTCTTTGTATGGTAACAAATGCTATTTGTTTGGTGGCCTGGCAAATGAAAGTGAAGATTCAAACAACAACGTGCCCAGGTATGTCGACCTCTTTTTAGACCAAATGCTTATTTTATGATTTAGATTAAGAACATTTAATTTCTTTCATCTTTAATTACTAAAATGGGTGAAGCTTAGCCTTTTTTGCTTTTAAACTTAACAAAGAAAAGATTTGTGTGCACTTGTGTTTTCCTTAGTCCCTGGAGTACATGTTTCCAAAACTATGCCTTTTCTAATCAAATATCTTTATAAATTGATACTAATATAACTGCTTATAGCAAAATATTTGTGTTTTTTCAGACTACTAATGTATTTTAATTGTCATAAGTGAACATGAAAAGTAGTAAATGGTTATTTTAAAATTTGGTTTCTCTGGGAATTTGGTGGCAAAAATCTAACTATAAGATGAAGGCCTTGCGCTGACCAGTGTGGCTCGGTTGCGCATCGTCCCGCAAAGTGAAAGGTCTCTAGTTTGCTCCTGTCCGGGCACATGCCTGGGTTTTGGGTTCAGTGCCCTGACAGGGTGCATACAAGAGGCAGCCAATTTATGTTTCTCTCTCATATCAGTGTTTCTCTCCCTCTCTTTCTCCCTCCCTTCCCCTCTCTCAAAAAATAAGTAAATAAAATCTTTTTAAAAAACTGAAGGCCCTCATTTCCATTTTTCATACTGGAAGCTCTTAGAGTGCTTCACACAAGCAACTGCTTTTTGAACCAACCCTTTCTCCCTTTTTCCAAACAATTAGTTATTACCTTTTTTCTTTTCATGTAGTGTTTTGATCACATTGTCGTTACAGCGCTCAGGATTTTGAGGTTTAGAGTTCAAAAGGCTGTTTTCTGATTCACCACTTACTGTGTATAGCTAGAAATAATTTCAGTATAAATAATCTAAACCCATTTTCCTTCACTGAAATAGGAGTGATTAAATACTTACCTTTTAGTGTTATCGTGATAGCTGAACGAGATCATTGGCATAATTCTCAAAGCACTTTGAAGTTGCCACCAGTATATAGTGCAGCAGTTATTATGGCTATGATACTGTGTCTTTTTACTACATTAAATTAATGTCTTAGTTTTTTTTTTCCCAAACTTTCAGAAGTAACATTTACTAAAACATGGGCAATTTGGAAACTGGAGGAAAGGAAAAAAAAAAAAATTATCCTATCACACTAATACAGATAGATACTTTAGCATGTCTTTTTTCATTTTTCCATTAACAGATTTTTTTAGATAGAGACTCATAAAAATTCGAAAGTATATAATGTTCTTTCTCATAGCATCACTGCATCCAACATAGCACACACATAATTCAATTTGATGTGTATCTTTTGGGACCCTTTTCATGTAACACACTGAGTTAGCTTTTCTTAGGTTATTGTCTATAACTGGCAAGCTTTTCAAATTTCTGCTACTTCAGGGTGCAAATAGATACATGCAATAATGTTTTTTAAAGCCTCTGATTAAAGCTAGTACATTCATTTCAGTTCACAGTCCATTGGTCTAAGCAAGCCATAAGGCTAAGCCCTCAGTAATGATGAAGGGATGTATGTTCTGCTTACTGGGAGAGGAGAGTTGGGCACATTAATTTGATCCTTTAAAGACATGTATTTTCTTTTATAGAAGTGGAGGATTTTTTTGTTGTTTTCTTTTTGCTTTGTGATTTCAAGTGTTTCCCTGTTTGTTTTTGTTACTCTTAACCTTTAAGGATATATCTTGGAACTTTTTTCAATGCAGTAGGTATATATTGATCTTATTTTTTTAGGCGAAAAATAGTCTGAATTATGCAAATTGCTTAATCATTCCCCTAGTGATGGACATTTAAATGTTTTCATTTGTTTTGCTATTACAGTCTTTGCACATATATTTTTTTTTAAGATTGATACTTATAAGTGGAATTTGGGGGATATCAAAGGCTGTTTACATTTAAGTTTGTTAGGTGCTTCTGAATCAACCTCCAAAGACAGGGAACCAATTATATTTCTAATAACAGTGTATGAGAGGGCCTGCACCCTTGGTAATCCACTCTTCTTATTTTTGCCAAGCCAATAGAAGAATATATTTCATGGATTTATTTTGAATTTTTTAAAGTATATTTTATTGGTTATGCTATTAGTTGTCCTATGTTTTTCCTTCCCCTTTATTCCCCTCTGCCCTACATTCCCCCTCCTTCTAGCGTTCCCCTCCACCTTAATTCATGTCCGTGGGTAGTACATATAAGTTCTTTGGCTTCTCCATTTCCCATCCTATTCTTAACCTCCCCCTGTCTATTTTGTACCCACCAATTATACTTCTTATTCCCTTTACATTTCCCACCATTCTCCCCTGCTCTGTCCTCGCTGATAACCCTCCATGTGATCTCCATTTCTGTGATTCTGTTCCTGTTCTAGTTGTTTGCTTAGTTTGTTTTTGTTTTTGTTTTTAGGTTCAGTTGTTGATAGTTGTTAGTTTGTTGTCAAATTACTGTTCGTAGTTTTGATCTTCTTCTTAGAAAAGTCCCGTTAACATTTCATATAATAAGGGCTTGGTGATGATGAACTACTTTAACTTGACCTAATCTGGAAAGCACTTTATCTGCCCTTCCATTCTAAATGATGGCTTTGCTGGTAGAGTAATCTTGGATGTAGGTCCTTGTCTTTCATGAATTTGAATAATTCTTTCCAGCCCCTTCTTGCCTGTAAGGTTTCTTTTGAGAAATCAGCTGACAGTCTTATGGGAACTCCTTTGTAGGTAACTCTTTCCTTTTCTCTTGCTGCTTTTAAGATTCTCTCCTGATCTTTAATCTTGGGTAAATTAATTATGATGTGCCTTGGTGTGTGCTTCCTTGGGTCCAACTTCTTTGGAACTCTCTGAGCTTCCTGGACTTGCATGTCTATTTCCTCTGCCAGATTGGGGAAGTTTTCCTTCATTCTTTTTTCAAATAAGTTTTCAATTTCTTGCTTTTCCTCCTCTTCTTCTGGCACCCCTATGTTGGAACATTTAAAGTTGTCCCAGAGGTTCCTAAGCCTCTCCTCATTTTTTTGAATTTTTGTTTCTTCTTTCTGTTCTAGTTAAATGTTTATTTCTTCCTTCTATTCCAAGTCGTTGATTTGAGTCCCAATTTCCTTCGCTTCACTGTGGTTCTCTGTATATTTCCCTTTATTTCACTTTGTATAGCCTTTGTTTCTTCCTTTATTTTGTGACTGTACTCAATCATTTCTGTGAGCATCCTGATTACCAGTGTTTTGAACTGTGCATCTGATAGATTGGCTCTCTCCTTGTTGCTTAGTTCTTTTTCTGGAGTTATGATCTGTTCTTTCATTTGGACCATATTTCTTTGTCTCAGCACACCTGTTATGTTGTAAGGGGTGGAGCCTAGGTATTTGCCTGGGTGGGGCAACCCACTTTGCTGTGTTGTGACCCTGTATGTTGGGGAGGGGTCAGAGAGGGAACAACGCTGCATGCTTGGCTCTCCTTGGCTTTCAGTCACTTCCCCTGCTACCCACAAGCAAATTGGGCCCTTCAGGAGTTGGTTCCTGGGTGGGTAGTACGTTATAATAACAGTGTATGAGAGGGCCTGCACCCTTGGTGATCCACTCTTCTTGTTTTTGCCAAGACAGTAGAAGACTGTATTTCTTTTGTGAGCCCCTCCAGTGGACTCTTCTGTGAAATTCAGAGTTTCTCCCACCACCGCAACCCCCATAGATTTTTACAGCCAGAGGTTTTGAGGTTTTCATTTCCCCATGCTGGAACCCTGGGTTGTGCAGTCTGTCTCACTCCTCAGTTGTTCCTCCTGGCTTACTGCACAAGAATGTGGGAACTCCCAATCCGCCAGCTGCTGCCTCACCTGCCTGGTCCACCAGCCACTGCGTGCCCATCTCTGTCCCTCCTAGTCTGAATGAATGGTTTTTCTTTAACTCCTTGGTTGTCAGATTTTCGTACAGTTTGATTTTTTGGCATTTCCAGTTGTTTTTTGTCTTTAAATTAGTTGTTATCCTTCTTTTGGTTGTATGAGGAAGTGAAGCATTATCTACCTTTGTCTCTATCTTGGTGGAAAGTCCCTATTTTGATATTCTTTATTGACAAAACTAGGAATGAGCTTGATTAACTGCTTACTGGGCATTTGCAATTCCTGGTTTGAAATTGTCTGTTCATATCATTCATTTTTCTTTAAAAAAAGTTGAAGCATAGCCTTGGCCAAGTGGCTCAGTTGGTTAGAGTGTTGTCCCATATACCAAAAGATTGCGGGTTCAATTCCTGATCAGGGCCCGTACCTAGTCTGTGGGTTCAATCCCTAGTCAGGGTGTGTATAGGAGGCAGCTGGTGGATGTTTGTTTCTCACATTGATGTTTCTTTCTCTCTCACCATTCCTCTCTCTAAAATTAATAAACATCCTTGTGTGAGGATTTAAAAAAATTGAAGTATAAATTACAAACCATAAAATTCGACCTTTTTATGTGTACAGTTCAGTAATTTTTAGCAAATTTACAGTGTTGTGTAATCATCACTCCGATGTAGTTTTAGAATATTTCCATCACTCTAAAAAGAAATTTCTTATTCATTTGCAGTCAGTCCCTATTTCCATCCTGATCCCTAGGCAAACATTAATCTACTTTTCATCTCCACAGATTAGCTTTTTCTGCATATTTCATGTAAGTGTGATTTTCTGCATTTTTCTTCTTTCACTTAGTGTAATATTTTTTTAAATTCAATCATACTGTAGCATATATCAAATATTTCTTCCTTTTTATTGCTGAATAAGTACTCCATTGCATGGATATACTATATTTGTTTATCCATTCATCAGTTGATAGACATTTGGATTGTTTCCAGTTTTTGACTTTTATGAATAATAAAGCTATAAATATTTGCATACAAGTCTTTGTATGGACATGAATTCTTTTCTGTTGATTAGAAACCTAGCAGTAGAATTGCTGGGTCATATAAATTCATGTTTAACTTTTTAAGAACTACCAAACGGTTTTCCAAAGTGACCATACCATTTTACATTCCCACCAACAATGTATGAAATTTCTAATTTCTTCATATACTTGCTAATACTTGTT